GATGATTATTATTATCACAAACCCTTTTCTATTGCTTGGAAACTGGGAAGAGTGGTGATAGAAGAACAGTACAATTGGGCTTATTATATTAATTGGGTTTTTACACTGTGTCAGCCAAAGTGCACTGGTCAAGTTCCTATTTACACTTGTCTCATAATTCATAAGAGTTTTCTATGTATAGTTAGATTATGGTTGTATATTTACTCTTTTTTATCCCATGCAGCAACTCAGCATTATTCCTTTTTTTCAGTTTTTGAAGGAATAGCTGAAATGTGGTGACGAGGCTTTTCAAAAATAATTTAAAAAATAGTGGGGCCGTTTAAAAATGGATTGCATTTAAATGATTGCTGTGCTGACATTCTTTTGAACACAAAAAGGTGGACACTTGAATGCTTTCAAAAATTGAGTGAAAGCACTGAAATATCTATTTAAAAGCAGTCCTAAATGAAGATATACTGCAAGCACATTGGTGAATCAGTTAGTATTTCTAAAAACAGTGTCTACTTTTATAAATGTATAAATTGTGAATGCCTATTTGCCAAAGGATGATGTCCGTCAGATAGCTGAAATTCCGAGGCTTGGGGTGAAAGCTGCTCGAAGGTGTTACCTATACTCTGAGTGCATGAACACACATTTGTGCATCCACAATTTGGAATCCACCTTGATTGGTTTGCAAAAGTAATCAGATGCTGCTTAAGCTCCGCACCTCCAACTGGTGGAACCATCGCTCAATGGAAAGGGACGTGTGTCCAAGTTGTGGGCAGGAAGATGGTGGAAATGCTCTCTCACATTTCATGCTGAGCTATGTTGCCAACCAGGAAGCTCGCAGGGAATTTCTGGTACCTGTCATCCACCTAGTGAGGGATCAAACCCATGCTTGTCTAATGTTAAATGACCAACTGATGACTACCCTCCTTGGGGATCCTCCTTGAACTGATGCCAAGGTAACATGTTTGCCAATGAAATGTCAGAATTGAGCCAACCCTCTGTGACAGTCTCGGTCGTCCTGTTCCTGAGCCAGGCAGGTCTGCAGTACTCCAGGGCACTGCTGATGACAACACCGCCAATCTGGTGCATCAGCACGGCTTGGAAGAGCAGATCAGTCACCTGGGGCAAGGACTATTCCCCACTTAGCTCCGTTAACCCTGCAAGCCAAAGCCTAATGGGTAGGATGGTCCTAGCTGGACAAGCATCTCTTGAATTTTACGAGTAGGTGGGATGGATGGAACTCAATTTGGTTTGGATATTCTTAAGCATGGTACTGGATTTCCGCAAGTGTTAAGTCACCCGGCTGACCAAAAACATAAGGTAGGTTTATTATATTAAAAAAAGCCTTGCAGAAAATGCATGTCATATATAATTTTTAACATGGTGTACTCCTCAAAAATAAAAGAACCTTTTTAAGTTATAGCCCTTAGTTATAAAGAGGGCTTAAATTGCCAGGAAAAATATGTATTAACAGTGCAGTTAAATCATTGCATTGGTTTAGAGTTAGGTTTTCATTTCTTGGGATAGAGAATTAAAACAAAGTGACAGTGCTTTATTGTAGTGGTTGGATTATTTGTACTTATTGTTGAAATATCATTTGCTACGATTGATCCCCTGCTTGGGGGTATGAAGGGTAATGAAAAAAAGAAATATGACTGGTTACCTAAATGTATGACATTGCCTGTAATACTGTATCAGCATCAATGTAGTGGAGAAGATAAAATGCTACCACTGAACAAGGACAATGAGATTGCACATCTTTTTATATTTATTGATTAAGGCAACATGGCCAGAAGATATATAAAGTAATGGTGAAATAAGATTTAAAATGACAGCAGAACAGTGATTGCTTCAAGAATTCTCCGCTTGTAATGATTTTGTTATATGTACTATGCAGCTATTTTGCCACTGACTTCGTACGTTGTGTCACAAAATCCATCAGATTTTTTAAAAAGCAGATGAACCACTAAACATGCTATTATAATGCCATTAATAATAACTTTAAAAAAATCCTTGGATTTGATATAGCGTCTTATCAAGCTTCACAGAATATACTGTAAAGTGAATTGACTGTATATTTTGTAGGCAAAACGCAGCAGCCAATTGCGCACAGCAGTGTCCCACAAACAGTCGTGGATTGAGTAACCACTTCTTTTAATATTTTTTTGAAGGGATTATTACCACCGGAAAAGCGATCTGCTAATCGACTAACAACCGGGTTCCTACTTACTGCTAGGTAAACAGAGGCATGTGGACTAGGGAAACTTGCTTAAGGTTTCGCCCTCCCGGGAATCGAACCTAGGTCCTCTCACTTGTGAGGCGAGTGCTCTAACCCCTAAACTACAGGACTTAATGTTAGCTGAAGGAAATTCATGATATACTACAGGTATTTAATTGTGTGCAAGTGAAATAATAAGTATCTTCAAGGAAAATTTGGAAAGGAATTCCAGGAAGTTGGGACATAGAGATAAAATCCAATTTACACTTTTAGTGTTTTTCACATTGGGAAGACATCCCAATGATGACAGTTTGGCCTTGAATCATGGCATGGATGGAGTAAGAGAAATGCAGCAACCCAAGTGTGTGGAGCAGCAGAAATGGGGAGCAGGGGTCATTTGGTGCCTAGTATGGCTCAAGGTGAAACTAGGGAGGTCAATGAAGAGAACATTTAAGAAAACAAATCTAGAGATGACTGAAGCAACTCAATGGTATCAAAAGTGGTGAAGGATTTGAAGAAGTTAGGAAGCCCTAATTGCAGATTTAGAAGATATGGTTGGTGACCTGGTCTGGCACTCTCAGTCCTGTTTGTCGGTTGGAATCTGGACAGGTTTAAACACAGACTGGAAGGTCTAGAACAGGATAAAGCAGGAGAGGTGGGATTATACCTGGGAGTTTGTCAATACATTCTAGTATTTCAGGGAACTCCAATAAAGTACATTGAGGAGTGTGGGTATTAACAGAAAAAACAGCTGGGTATTTCTCCACTAAACATAGAGCAATCTACGAGAGCAGAACATTTCATCTTTGTTCACGTAAAGTTATAAAAGTTATAGAAGTAACAATTAAAATTAAAAAGTTGATACATTGGATATCATATTTAATTTGTATTGCACCAGGCTGTCATTCTAAGAGAATGATTGACTCTTTAATATTGAAATAAATGGAAAATCTACAATTGCAAATGAAAAACGACTTCCTTTTCCCTAGGAAAGAATGTTATAAAGATATTTTATAATAAATGTCAATAAGTAAATGCACCTCACTTTACAGGTCATGAACAATGACATGGTTCATGGGAAGTTAAATGTGTGTGAATTATGGAACAAACCGCACCCAACTTTCAAATAGTTTACATGCAATACACAATTTATATGTAATACTTCCCTATATAGTCCTAATATTAATGTGACCTTGCCAACATCCCCCAAATAAAATCTGTCACTCATTTCATGGCTGTTTGTGGGACATTGCTTTGCCTACAAATACACAGTCACTTAATTTCACAGTAAATCCTGTGAAATGCTTTGAGTGGTCCTTCCGACGTGATAAAGCACTGTGCCAAATGCAAGGATTATTATAATTTGTTATTTATTTAATTTATTGCAATAACGTTTCAAAGTTAATGATCTTCACTTACATACGGGAGCATTTAAATACTTCAGGGAGGTCAATGGCAACCTACATTGTCTGGTAATGTGTCAAAACTTTCTCTGACCTGAAATGCACAGAAATGTAGCCATTCTGTGTGTTGGAGTTCACTTCTCTAGTGTGCACTTCAAATGGTATTCCAATGGAGTGAATGTGTTTCATGTTGTAATTAGATTTTTTAAAATAACTAATTAAAACCTCTCTTTTTTGACACATTTAGTAGTTTTCTGTCATACACACAGGCAGTGTGATGTTACAGTATCGCTGCTAACTACCTCCCAAAAGGAATTGATGGTTGCTCCCATTAACTGGAAGTTATTCACTTGATAGCTGTTTGTGAGATAAAATACTTTTAATAATGAACTAGTTGATAAAAATTGAATTAGTAATTACAGTTGGACATTAGAGGTGTGTTCTGCATATTAAGTCTAGTAATTGGTTCATATTATTCACTTTGTATATTTATGGCCAAAAAATGACATTGTTTAAAAATGAGTGGTGTCTACTTTTCCCTGTTCCCCCTTTGTCCCTTTTCCACTGACGTAGCCACATTTTTTCAATTAAAAGAGTTGGTCTATGAAAGTGACATTGGCTTAATTTTCATATCCAGTGGCAGTTGCACTCCCTGGAATGGTCAAATGGGAGATGTGTCATTGATAGGTATGAGAAGTACATGCTCTTTGTCCAGTTGGTGTCTAGCTGAAAAACTAGATAGATAAATATTGACTCCATCTTCACCGAATGCACACTTCAGATAGTTATTCACAGTTATGTTTTTGCAGTGAATGTCTTTCATTGTGTAATTGTATTTTTAAAAATATCTAATTAAAATCTCTCTTTGTTGATGTATTTAGTAGTTTTCTGGCATATTCACAGGCAGTATGATGTTATGGTATGACCAAAATAATAATAATTTGGTCACTCAATCCATGACTGTTTGTGGTACACTGCTGTGTGCAATTGGCTGTTGAATTGCACCCATAAACTATACAATTAATTCACTTTACAGTATATTCTGTGAAACGCTTTGAGACCTCTCAAAGATGATATGGTGTCACTGCTAACTGCCTCCATAAAAGAGTTGACACATCTTGTTTGCAGCACCAACCTTTGTGCTGTGTTAAGTAAAGCAATTAACTCAATTAACTAGGTTACAGCACCAAAATGCTGTACATGTGGAAGCTGGCACACTAAGTACACACATATGTTGTATTATGTTTGTATGAAGTATGATGACAGTGTTTGAGATGTTTCAATGATGTGATAAAGCAGTATATAAAATGCAAGAATTATTATGTGCATTATGGATCATTGGTAATTAGTCTGCTGTACTGTATCTTAATATGTGGTTATTTCTCTTACAGCTCCAATGACAGACAAACCACCCAAGGTACTCTATCCTTTAGAAAACAGACATAATGCTGTGGAGGTCCAGCTGGGTAAGTCTGAGTTTACAACATAAGTTGTAATAGTGTAATAGTGTTCTTCAGCATGTTATGCTCAGGATACAGAAACGTGGATTCTTCAGAAGTTCAGTGCAATTGGGCAGAACAGAAATCTTTACAATCTTCCAGGTTCATTTATGTTCATTTCTATCATGGATTTGAAACACAGGAGCCATTAAAGAAGACAAGAAGCCATCTTCTAGCATGTTGAGTGATGTTGGGTAGTGGTGTAATCACAGAAGAGTTCCAAGAGATTTTTGGTAAATTTTGTAAATTGACTGAAGTATTTTTGCTACTAGTTTTTTTCATGGTAAAAAATGGCATTTGAAGACTATAAATACCATAGTCCACTTCCAGCTTTATTGGTTAATGCAGCTTGTGGCTTCCTCAAATGTTGATTATCCACATACAGTAACATGTATTCACACTTTATTAAATGTGCTGTGACTTATATGTTAAATAATTCAATGAGTCAATTCCATAACTGAAGCCTCCTCAGTGCATTGTTGAACCTGGTTTGTGCTGAGTAGGACAGCAGTTGAGATGCCATGTTTCAAAGTTTTCTGCTTGTGAATGACAATCTCAAGCCCACTGTTTAAAATGAATCTGTGCAAAAAAATTGTGAGCAGATTTAATAGACCTTCTTGCTTTTCCCATGCATTTCTGAGTTTTATATTTGCTTCTGGGGCATGTGTTGGTGCCACAACTGCGGTATTGGCTTGGAACAATTTCTGAACCCGACAAAGTGAGAGAGCTGAATTAATATATACAATTGGTAATAAAAGTTACTTGATTAATGACAGTTCGTAAGGATAATTCAGCTTTAATTGACAATATCAGTCTCAGTAACTCATTCAAGCTAGTACCCTTAATATCGTCAACACTTACATATAGTTTAAACAAGCAAAATGAACAGAACAAAAAAGGAATAATTTCTAATATGTCAGGATATTTAATATATTTTAAGAAGATCTTGATAACGCTATTTACTCTTTAATCATAGCTATATAATTCCTCATGAATTAAAATATGTCCAGTTCCAGTCTGATGAGCCATGGATCAGTCTTACACTGCTAGTTTTATGACAGATAATTTATTGTTGCTAAGCAAATGTTGCTGAAACAGCTCATTTATTTCCTGCTGAATAGATGAGGTCAGAATTGGACGTTTGTTATTGCTGAAATGGTGATAAGCTTGGTCTAAATTTTGCTGATCACGCTTGATAACATAATAACTTAACTAAATACAAATTTGATATGCAAAGTGATCATGGTTTTATTTTAACTGTGCTGTTTTCAGAATTGTCTTCAATTGTAACTTGACCCGGTTTCTGATAATCCTTCCATATGTTATCTACGTTGAAATATAAAGGCTACAATTCATCTCTTTTTCTGTCAAAGCAATACAAGCCCAGAATGGTTGCGTGCGCACCAGAAAATAATGTTATAGGCTGTGTTCCACAACAACGAAAATGAACACTGAAAATGACCTCAAACTGCGGACTGCACCACAACTCAGATTGTCATGGAAAGAAATTATCAAATTTGAGTAAAATGAATAGGCTTTATTATGCCAGTGCAAAAACATTCACAAAAGTGACAAATAAAACACTAGTTTTATTGTGGTCTTTGTGCTTCTTCAATCACAAAGCACATTATAGTGTGCTGTGAGGAGCAGTATGTGGTTCAACATAGAATTACTTAGAATGTTAGTGGATGGAAATGGGTCATTTGGCACAACTAGCCCCTGCCGGTGCTTTTACCCCTCCTCATCCATTCTCCCATACCTCTCTATTTCCTTCTTCGCCATACATGCATCAATTTAAGCATCAAGCACTAAAATTACTTTTTATTTTTAATCACTGTGAAAGAAAACCTTGTTAGCACCAAGTATCCCAAAACAAGTTACAGTTTTTGTTGAAAGCCCAGATGATAAAATTAGGTTGCAGGCCTGCTATCAATCTCAATTAGAGAAACCGGTGTGCATAAACAGGGCATTAAAGCAATAGTTCCTTATAGTTCTCACTTGCAAACTGTTTATGTTGCTTTTATTTTGGTGTTGTATGTGGTTATAAGCATTCATATGGAGAGAATACTAATCAATGTCACAATTGACAAAAAAATCTATTATTAATTATTAAGTTTGCAGCAAGAACAACTCCTATTTATGTAGGATCTTTACTGCAGGCTAATGCCTCCAAGCACTTCACAGAACCAGTGCCTGACCCTGAGTAGGGAGGGAGTGGAGAGAAGGGAAATGAATTTGGCACAGTCAAAGAGATATGTTTCAGGAGGCTTTTGAAGACAAGAGATAGAGAAATTTTGGGAGGGAGTCAATAAAGAAAAAGAAATCTTGGTCAGGGCCCAGATGGAAGGAAGGGATAAAAGCTGTGAGTCAAATCGAATGCCAAGATTGTGCACAGGCTCAGTGTCATGGAGAGAACAGCCAAGTAGGTTGAGATAATCAGAACTGGAGATAGGGAGGCAATGAGTAAGGTGGCTTCCATTGTGTCCATGTTGAGCTGAAGGATTTTGATTGTCAACCAAGGCTTGATGTCCAGAAGTGAGCTGATCAGAACATTAATGGACCTGGACCTGGAATGAAGAGTGAAAGCAGAGAGGTAGATTTAGATTTTATCAGCATACGAGTGAAATATACCCTACATTTGCAGATAATGTCACCGAAGGGGAGCATATAAATGAACAAAAAGAGGAGAATGAGGTTAGAGACCTGAGGTACACTGTGAGGTGGCAAATTTTGAGGTGGTCCACATAGATTTGGCAATAGATCATTCAATCCATGATATTTGTGGGACACTATTGTGAGCAATTGGCTGCCGCATTTCACCCACAAAATACAAAGTGAATTCACTTTACAGTATATTCTGTGAAGCACTTTGAGACTTCTCGAAGATGTGATGAAGCGCTGTATCAAATGCAGCGACTATTATTGTTATTATTATTATTATGTTATTATTATGTTATTATGCCACTTTCATACTTACAATGCTCTAGTGATGGGGAAATGGCTAGATGGTGACATTATACTGGATTTCTGAGCACAACAGGACTCAATGGCAAGATATAATAAAGAAAATTCAAAAGAAAACAAATAAAATGTTTAATGAAAAAAATGAGAAACTATAACCTTCCTGTATACTTTTTATAATAGAAAATAAATCAGATTTCTGGATTATAGATACTACCATCAACTTTTGTGGACAGAATTGTAATTGTGCACAACAAACACATTCCAGTACATCAGTAAAGATGGTTTGCAACAACACGTTAAGCTGCTGTTCTAATTAAGTTGTTCAAACTTAATTATTTTATCCTTTAACCATATGTTGGAAAGGATATTAAAAGAAGATCCTCCATAGATCCACACTTGGTCTGCTGACACATTGATGCTTTCATTGCATCTGTTTCTTTTAGTTTGGATTCATCTCACATCATAAAAGGAGTAAGAATTAAACCAATCATATTAATTACTTGACATGCCTAACCTGAGAAAATATAAAACTGACAACTGTGGAAAACTGGCTTTTAATTAGAAAGCCAGTTTTCCACAGTTGGTACAAAGTACTGGGGAAAAGCAGTTTCCATATTAAGGATAAATTTAAGAATTTCCCTGAATTCTGCACATTATATTTTAAGAGAATGGTCTTAATGCTAAGACTGTGTGAGTTTGTGTGGCTCTCATCCATGCCCTAGAACACTATGGGGTGCAAAATATGGTGTTTTGTAACACATTCCATACATCATAAATTTCTCCCTATTCCCAAACATTTGCCACCGGTGAAATCTTTCCTTCTAGGATAAGTGCTGTAGGGAGGAAATATGGCAATGAAAGGATTAATATCCAGATTGTTAATGGAAGGATCCCTTTTTTGCTATTATTATAAATTATCAATTAAGGCTGGTGAGTACTCCACAATCACAACTTTTGAACATGTCTTCTCTGGTCTTATTTTGTGATATATCTTAACCAGCAGTAACTTATGATATGCAATAAGGATACAAAAAATAAGTTGAGCTTTCAAAAGTTGTTTTGTGTTATCTATATTTCTATTGTAACAGTTATGGGGGTAGGGGGGTGATTTCCATCACCTGCAGTAATATATTAATAGTAATTCCCACAAGCAGAATATTGATTTCCCCCTCTTGATCTTAGAAACTGTTCTGTATTTCAGCCCTTACCAAATCCATACTCAAGGGGTTAACAATTATCCCCCACACCAAATATACTGTCTACCAGGTTTATGTGGTCATGTGCTACATTACGAAACTCATCTTACAGTGAATATTACAGTACAGACTGTACAGCAGGCTTAAAACTAAAAAAAATATAGTCTCCATTTATCTATCGTGAGCAGGATGTGTGCCTCTCAGACTAGATTGAGACTGAGTTGACACTCCAATAATACAGTGATTGCGCTGTTTCTGCTGCTATCCTTTGGATGAGACAATAAGCTCTGTAATGCTGCACCTGAAGCATTGCAGTCACCTCAACATGTTCTCAGATTAGTTCTAAAAATTGCAATCCAGACGTTTTTACTGCAGCGATAACCTAGAAGTCACAAGTAACCAGCGGAAACTCGTCCAAAATAAATGGGTCATTAAGCTGTTCCACATCATACAGAATATACATGTGTGTGCCATACATCTGAATTTTACATTAAGCTTCATTTTAACCTTATGAATGAGCTTCACTAATTTATTGTTGCTCCATATATCTACTTTGCTGAACCAATTGAATTCAGGTTAACAGTTGAAATTGGATCACCTGGGGCTGAACATTGCAGCAAACATCATTACATTTCTGTAAATTGTGGGTGTACAAAACATCAAAATGGTTTGAAGTAGATTTGTTTTCGGAATTGTTCAGTATAATTTTTTCTTGCCTTAACAGGATCATATTGAAATGCCTTTACATTGATAGTTAGTAAAACAGTGCTGCCACAGGGTGT